AAAAAAAATCAGTTCTCCGTGCCTTTCCAGACGCTTTGCAAAAAGGTGATATACTGCACTTCCATTCAGCCAGCAAAACCCATCAAAAACTTCTGCAGGACCAACAGAAGCTGCTTTTTTTGATAGACAGGCAACAATGTGTGAATCACCGCTAAAGCAAAAGCAAAAGCTCAAATGTGACAAAACATGTACTCGGAATTACCCTGCCGTTATAATAATAGTTTCCAAAGTAACGACGTATGATAATCATAAGAGCGACAAGCGTTGAGCCCTTAGAGCCCCTATTGACATATCGATATATCCCCATCTTAAAAGAAATGATTTTCAATAGTAGTCACCCGTGATCAGTTTCAGAGCATAACATCAAAAGATTGTTACAATTCACACTATTTGAACAAAATACTGAAGAGTCAGTTGCAAGATATGTGCACTACACAACACCGCAGTTTTCTACGGACGGCTTACAAATCAACATTCCCAAAATTTTCTCCTTTATCTCCTCTTCTTATTAAATATGTACAAACAATTGAGAACACTTGTTGGAAACATTTTCCCATCGGAACGGTTTCTACTGACCGCCCGAAAATAATAGTCGTAAAATGCCACTCTCATGTTGTACAATCTCACCTATTGCATTACATTTTCATGCAAAATCCCTCTTTGCAAGCCAGACTCTGCTAATCGTTCTATTGAGATTCAAAGCTACCCAAAAAATTGAATTCCAAATATGTAGTGAATGAAAAGTAATGTGATGCAAATAGGATGAGCAAAAAAAGATGAATGGGAGGCAAAAAATAGAACCAAAAAAATGGCATTCCACGCTGAAAAACTAAGCCGCTTTTCTAAAATCGAGAGATTGATAACTGTCCACAAAACGAATCTAGGTCTAGATATAATATATTATTACTTAGAAAAAAGGGAGAAAACAAGGTCTGAAGGCAGATTTGCTAGAAAAACTAACCCAATAACTTTGTGAGATGTGTTTGGCACGCAATTCCGTCCATAGGTAGACGTTTTCCATTCGTGGCCAGTGTGGGCATAACGAGAAAATAGCCACTTCCACATTCCCTAAAAATGCACTAATATTAAGTTGGCGAATCCGTTATTTTTGACCTCTTATGAAAGACAACTATATGTATCAAAAAGAGAAAGCAACGCAAGGAGAATGAAGAGTAAGCTTTGTTCGAATCCGAAGAAATTCTAGCTCTGCCAAATCACTCGTGCGTGCATCCAACGGCGCATGAAAAAATTTATAAAAATTTAAAAATATTTTGGGACTTCAATACAATCCTGATGCAAACATTGGTAATGAGTGACAAAGGCTTCAATCTGCTTCTCCACAAAGGTTATGAACAATAACACTAGTGAAATTTATTTCCCAAACAGATGTGCTAAAGAAGCTTGCTCCATCACTCATTTTTTGTGAAGAAAAGTAATTTATTGATGTTACTTACTCTCCATCAGCAGTGAATGTATATTTGAATGAGCCAGCACTTGTGCATTCCACTTGACAGTAAGCAGCCAGATGATCTGTGCCTTCAGTCCATTTCAAAGGCTCTTGTCCTGTTAAGGTCGTACGAATCTCCACATCTACTCCCAGTAAGGAGCTACCACGGTGAAAACGCACAAAGTGTCCTAAAAACAAAATTTTGAAAATTTTCTCTAACCCCACCCAAGTAGTGGTATACCTTTTTCCATCCGTCGAACAATCGTTTCAAGATGTTCGCCTTTCTCCAACACGATAATGCGCACCTGGGGATAATTGCCTTCCGCCATTTCGGGTAAGTCACCTAAATGTCAAAAATTTGCACTTAGGTAATTCGATAGGAAAAAATGATAGCAGTCAAGCTCATAAAGAAATGGAATGCTGAGCGAAAGAGATATTTTGGAACTATGAAGGTCTAAATATATTGCTTTCGACAAGGTCATTCGAGAAGACAGCCGAAAACCCATTTTCTATTAACTTTCTTTTGCCGGAGTATGAAAAAAATGTCAAGGATAAACTAGCATTAGCAAAGACTTCAAAGAATTCTACACTTTCGCTTTGGCTTATCAGAGGTTAAGCAAATTATGAGATACGGTTAATAAGAGAACAAACTTCAGTGGAATGCAAAATATTCAGGAATTACAACAGCGCCAAGGAAAGCTGAATATCTTCTGTCTAAAAGGAGCATCTAAAAAATTGCATATTTTCACACCTATTTGAAAGCTTTAGCTTACGATTAACCATTGCTCAAGCGGCAACTCATATGTTCCATCGATGACAGAAAAATATTATTGTAAATTCTAGCCCAGATCGTAATCTACCAAACCAATCAGCATCTTCAAGTACGGTAGAAAATACGGTCCGGGCCAGAGTTTAGGGTCTAATTTCTCAGTCATCAATGATCTATATGAGCTGGCACTCAAAAGATGGGTTAGTTGAGACTTCTAAATCAACTATGACTTGAAATTTCAGGTTACTTAAATTTTACTAAGCAATACCTCTAAAGTCTAAACTTCGCACTTTTAACCCTCAACAAGGTTCGAAAAATGGTTTTGATAAGCCAGTTAGCAGCCATTATTTTAGACACCAAACAACAGCAGATAAGCAAGGTAAGCAAATGCAGTGAGCATCGGGTGCACACAACACATCTATTAGTGTCCTCCACCGTTCTTCCACCTTCCACACTCAGAAAAAAAA